GCGACCGCTGGTATAGCAAGTACGGTCAACAAACTGAGCCAAACGTATCATCGTATGTATGTAAGTTTGTATATATTTATGTAATATGTATGCATGTAGCTTATATTTAGGTTACTAGTTGAAAAATAATTTATGAAAGAGTCTAAGGGCTTAATAAAATTTAATGTAAAATTTATAATTTGTTTAAGATTTTTCATCTGAGATTACACTAACTTCATTCTACTACATTCAACTAATATGTACTAATTTCATTCTTACATAAAACTGGGAATTTGAAAAATGCGAAATATTCATTTCGATGAAGTGATTGTATATATAATAATTTAAATTTCAATAATCTCATAATGTTTGAGTATAATAATTCTTCTTATATTTTTATTATTTTTCTCAATAACTTAAATACTTGATTGAAAAGTTATGCCAAACTGTATTATATTTTCAAAAATAACTAGTTTATACTCATGGCTTCGGTGACGTTAATGAAAAATAGCTTACTGCCTACTCAATACAGCTTTGTATTGATAAAAGTACATTTAGTTATTTATTTCTAGATAGTTATTATTTAGTTCTAGATAGTACCTCTGCATACAAATATATTAGGGAGTAAGATTGATTTAAGCAATACTCAAGATATAGGGAAAAATAAAGCAAAAAACAGTTAAAAAATTACACAGATATTTATTTACTCATACAAAAAATGTAAGGTTAAAATGTTTTATACAATGTTACCGAAAAATCTAAATAAAATACAAAAATTACAATGAAATGTCTTATTGCTAGTTATTACACTATAACGTAAATTATAAATGTATTAAAATAATAACACTAATATAAAATTAAGCTGTTCGAATATTTTTAAAGACTGTATGCATTCTTTTACTATATTATTTTAATTTACACCATCTTTCTAGCAGTGTCGACAAACAGTGTAATAATAATAATAATGCCCTCCTGATCGTTTTCGGCCATGGCGGCCAATTTCATTGAGACTAGCCAACTGCGTATGAGATATTATAGCCCACAAACACAAGTGCACTCTCTATTCCTGTCACTCTCATACTCCGGTGGGACGACTACTCGACACGATTAGTGAGAAATCAGGCGTAGGACCAACGGGTTTACGTGGTCTTCGAGGCACGTGGGTGAAATGTCGCAGACTTCCAAACTCTGGGATATTACTGAGAATTTTTTGACATAAACATTGAATACCTGAGTCGGGATTCGAACCCAGGACCTCCAGATCTACAGCCGGGCCACTAGACCACCGAAGCAGTAGAACACACAGAGACTATAGGTACTATAGAGAAAGTGACTATATATTTTGCTGTTGAGCATACAGCTGTTTTGAACTTTTACTTCATCGAGGTACTGTTGGGCTTCAGTAACACTACATTAGGATAAAGGTATTTAAAATAACTGTATATTAGTATGTTTACAATGAAGGTATTTCTTCAGCATTCGACCAATTGTGATGAAACTTTAATGTTTTAATGTCCATATACCCGGAATTGATTGATGAATTCAAAATACGATAGATGGCGCGCGAATTACATTAGATTGTTTGAGATTTAATCGTATGATTCCCTACACCCCATATGAAGCTAGGGCGGCTCCCTAATAGCCAATAAGTCTATGTTACTTATAAGAGGGATGGTATTTTAAAATTAATTGAATCCCCGACTATATTTGAATTTTTAAAATTTAATTTTTGCTATATACATTATATAATACCAATCATACGAATAAAATATTTTATTACCAGTTCAAATATTGAAAAAAATTACTTCAAATAATGAAAACAACACTAGACTAGTTGATATATACTATAATAATAAACACAAAATGCATATAAATGCTGTTATATAAATGCATCGTTACTTCGTAATATGATTAATAATCCTGAATAAGTTATAACTTTATCCATCTGTCATTCTGTTTGTCAAAGTAATCGTAGAAGCAGTCCTCAAAGGCAAAAGGACCTATAAAATATGAAATATGTAGACAGCTGACCTCAACAAATGAGAAGCCTCGAGATTTAATAGCCAGCATAAAATAATTATAATTTAATACTATGACACATGAACGAATTAACCACTGGACTAGACATATAAGCGGACGTACCTTTATCGGTATTCTCAGTAACCAGGAGATTTTAGGCTTGGTCGTTTGTTTTTTGCGTCAGTCTCAAGCACTTATTTGTCAACAAAACATCTCCCAAAAATGACTAAATGTTCTGTTAAATGATGTAAAAACTATAACGGCGGAAGCAGCAGTATTTCTTTTCACTTGTAAATACATTATTTTATTACATTTATTGTTATTTATCAAACAATTTAATTAAATGTAAAATAAAATGTCATATTATCCAACTATGTTAAATATAGTCGATATTTCTATGTATTGTTGACATCTGACAACCATCATAAAATCCCTGGATTATACCATTCAGAACAAATGACTAAACTGTCGAGTGAGTCCATTTGACATCGACTAGTGCTTGACAATGTCGAAATTTATATCGATATTTGACGAAATTACTAAACGAATTGTGTTATTTGTATTATTTGTATTATTTTTACAGTACAATAACATAAAATACTTTTACCACAGTATCCTACAATCTGATGACAATAAATTTATAAAAATATTTTCTAAATCAAATAAAAATATAAATGCAAAAATTATAATTAGTATGTGTACTTAATTTTTTATTTTATTTTCTTCCACATTTATATACTTTGGAATATTGTTCCATTGTAATAATAATAAAGATCATTTTATTTCAACACATAAATTACACAAAATCAAACAATAATGTTTTAGCACTAAACTTCTGGGTTGGCGATTTGTAATAAAACACTTTACCACTTGCACTAATTATTTTACTTTCACGATGCAACACTCACTTTAATTTGCAATGTCTTTTTCTTTTTCCTAATTTCACAAATGTTTATTAAGCACTGAGCAATATTAGGACAGTGTCACATTTTTATAACTACCCGAGACAATCAATTGCCAATTAAAATAGTTCAATAACAGAATCAACAAAATCACTTTATTTAATTAAATTAGCTTAATATTTTTTTTAATCTTTACAAAATAATATTTATTATATATTAATGGAATATATACCCGATATTCATTTGTTCATTAACATTATTATAGGCCAACAGAATGTTGCCATCAATGCCATCGTATTTATATAAATCAAATTAAAACATAATTATTATTTGACACATTATTATTGCCTCTTTAATTCATTTATTTATTTATTTATTTATTTGTTTGGTTTATCAAGTTGTACACAATACACGATTACATACATACACAATGATATTTTACAGTTTGCAACTTATAATGATAAACACCGCATGCATAATAACAGGAAAAGTGTTATTTTAATTTATTAAAATTAAAAGAAGAAGAATAAATTAAAAGATGTAAAATATGATGACTATGCTAACCAATGTCTAAAATGTCATTAATTGGTTCATCGATATATGTATTTTATCGATTACGTTCAAGCACTAGAAATATTGTATTATGTATCAGTGTGTCATAATAATGTAATAAAATCTTTGTGTGCGTTATGCGCTTGGTTGAACTAGTTTTCATACATTTGTTTTTATGTCAGGTCCAGTCTCTAATTCGTTCATGCTATGACATTTTAATTATCTCCATAATATGTAGACGTTCTTTGTTTCCTACATTCGTGATGAAAGCTTCATAATTACAATGTAACTAAAAATAATTAAATTATATTATAAATATTAAGTCATATAAAAGAATTATATCTAATTACGACTAGGTTTTAATATTTTACAACATTCATTGTGTGAATATTTTACATTTTACTTAAAAACTGTGCTCACTTAATGTTAAAACTTAATTAGCTTGAACACAATAAACGCAATTTAAGCTCAAATGGTTTAATTACAGTTATTCTTTCGAAGGTGAGAAAGTTACGACATTAGAAAGAAAGACATCTTTAAGATATATATATATATATATATATATATATATATATATACGAGTATATATGTCATATTTAATTAAATATCTTAAAGGATTTACGTGATAACAATATGCTATTTAATACAAGAAAAAAATACTTTCCATTTTATATTTTAGTATTTTTAACCCCCGACGCAAAAATAAGAGTGTTATAAGTTTGACGTCGATGTCTGTCTGTGTGTGTGTGTCTGTCTGTGGCATTGTAGCTCTGAAAGGCATGGACCGATTACGATGCGGTTTTTTTCATTTGAAAGCCAGTTTCCTTGCGGTAGTTTTAGCTATGTTTGGTTAATATCGGTCCAGCAGTGTAAGAGTATCAGCTCTTTTCCAAAATGATGTAAGGCATTTTGGCGTATGATTATTTGATTAAGTGCTTCACGCGTGCCAGTGCCAGTTTTTAAAATTTTTAATTTATAGATTATTGGAGTTATAGTACGTAATTTTTTGAAAATAAAACAATATATATTGAGCCTTTGGACATACAATAAGTATATAGGTACTTATTAAATATATATTTGTTACATTAGTTTAAGATTTTTTATGTAGCATTAGGAAATAAACTTCATTGTTTGCACAAATGTAATCAAGACATAACGTTTTATTTTCAACTCGTAAGTACGTTATGCAAACGTGGAGTAGCAATCTAGCTTTGTCAAACTTAAAATAAATTTTGAACATACATAAATTTTAAAATCCACCTTTAAAATTCAGCAAATTTTTGGACATATAATTTTGTTTCTATAAATAAAATATACTAAAAGTTTAAAGTAAATTGACCAAGACAATGCAACCTAAAACATAATTAAAGTTAGATAGTTAATTAATACGAATCATATTCTAAAAAATTATTTATCTCGCAACTTAGTGTTCTTATATCACAATACATCATTAAATTAAATTGCGTTTACATATTCAATATTTAAATTTAAAATAGTCTCTTTCTCCATTACAATAGTGACTAGATTGGTAAAATCTAACAACACCTAAGTGAAGAAAAACACGAAGCAACTACTCCATAATATAAGATGGTACACCAAAGCTGTTTTGTGCGCAGCATTCATCTCTTGAAATCTAAACGTCTTCATTTCATTTTGAATTGGAATAACTTGATCTATTATGTAAGGTATTTCAGTTGTCTTTCTTGTATCTACAGGACAAGGTAGTGTTTCTGGTGAAATTTTCAGTACATTTCTCTTAGCTGGTCTCTTAGAGTTTAAATCGCTTGCCATATCTTTTAATTCATCTATTTTTTTATTTGTTGAATTTGCTTTAAATGAGTCGATTGAGATTTTTTGAGAATTCTTATTTATATCTATACTTTCATCTGGCATTTTATTGTATGCGGAACTAACGATCGGTGGATCCATCTTGCAAGTGACACTTTCTAACGAATCTTTCGTATTTTGACTCTTGGTTTCATTTCTTAAAGTATGCATCCATTTCAATCTGCAGTCGCATACAAAGTTGTTTTCTGTTAGAAGAAAAAAATAATTTGTTAAAGTGATTTATAATTTAGAAAAAGTGGGAAGGAAGTACTGACACTTAAAAAATATTATTTTTATGACGATCGCTTCGCTTCGGCACATCAGTTTGATTTGCGCGCATGTCGCTTTATGTTATTTTTATTTTTTTCACGAAAAATCCTTTTATTCGAACCGAATACATATTTATTTATGTTTAATTTAAAGGTCTATTCTAAATATTGGTTAAAGAGTATTTGAAATCAGATGAGTAGTTTCGGAGATTCTTCTACATTCAAACTTATAAACTTACTATATTAGTGTAGAAATGTCCATAATTTAACTGTTGATAATAATTATATTTCATACTCGTATTTGTTACTTCAAAGACAAAAAGTAAATTTAATACAAAACTTAGTAAGTATATGTATGTATATCATTACGAATATCTTTTACAGGCAAGTTATATCTACGACTACTCAAGACTCCTAAATTATTAATATAATTTGGCTACTTATTTATTTTTATGCTATGCAATTTCTGTGTTAATTAAGTCAAATACCAAAATTGCATAATTAAAACGAAAATTAATTTGTATTAAAATCCAATACAAACTTGTAACAAATTTCATTAAACGTGATCGTTAACATTCCAACATTTTGCAACTCGCGTGCAAAACAGAGTCATTTACGTGTAAGCCGCGTGTCTCTATTAAAGAGCAGTGCAGCAGTGAATATTTCGCGCCAGAAAACTTTACTATAGACTAGCGCGATAATCGCAAAGATAGTTCTATACGACTTATAATACCCCGCGGTACAATAAGAGAACAAACTCTTAAGTATATTTGAGTTTCGAAAACGTCTATTTCTCCTCGTTAGACATTCAAAATGTTCTTTGAGTTTATCATAACGCTAACTGTGATGGTTAAATATTCATTATTTTATATATTTACTAGCGACTTACCCTCGTTTCACTCGGGTTTGTCCCTAGGATATTTCCCTATACAAACTTTCATCCCCGTTTTCATAAACTGATAAAATCTACCTAGGTCCTTTCCAGAATCTCAAACTATCTTCTTACCAAATTGCATCTAAATATATTCGGTAGTTTCGGAGCTTATTTTTTACAAACAAACAAAAAATCTTTCCTCATTATAATACCTATAAGTATAGATTATTATGCAAGAAATCCCTAATTCGCGATAAGGTCGCTTTTGTGCATATTGTTATGCTGTTTTTATCTTTATGTTATTACTGTGATGTTAAATAAAGTGTGTATAAATAAATAAATTATTACCTTCCAGTAACAAATTGCTGCCTAAAGGCTTCAAATTATCCAATATAGGTTTGATGTTGTCGAAAGTTAGGGCGTGTAGTTCATTTGATCTCAAGTCTAGCGAGCTCAGTCCCCTCACGCCTTCAAACAAACCGGAGGGAAGTGACGCCAGTTTATTATCATCGAGGGACAACTTTTGCAGTTGGGATAAACCATCAAATGCTCGCTCTGATATATATTTTAAATCGTTCTTCCCCAAAAGCAACTCTTGTAAGTTCCATAACTCAGCGAATGTAAATTCGGTTAGATTGTATATGCGATTTCTTCTAAGATCTAATCTCTTTAAATTCGCCAACCCGTCAAATGTGTGACGGTTTAAATGAAATATGTTATTCTTATTTAAATCTAGCTCCACCAGATTGAATGCATGTTGGAACGCTCCGTTGCTGATTGTAGAAATGTTATTTTTCGTAAATATCAGTTTTTGTAATTTTGGTACATCGAAAAAAGAATCCCTCCCAATTTCCAAAATCATGTTCTCTTCTAAATTTACAACTGTTAAGTTTGGTAGATGTGCGAATGCGTACTGCTGGAGAGTTTCGATTTGATTTTGTGATAGCGTCGCCTCTTTTAAGCTGGTTAGATTCGCGAAGGCATAAGATCTGACATCCACAATGTTGCCGTATTTAATATTTATAGATTTAAGTCTCTGTAAGTATTGAAGCGCTTTGGTCGGCACGTAGCCCAGCGCGCCATCGACGCGAACGTTAAAAGACAAAGTTTGTAAAGTTGGTTGTGACGCAAAACTTTGCCAAATGAGGTCGTCCCGAGGTATACCGCCGTTGAACACCCAACATTCAGCTTTTGTTGCATTTCTTGGTTCTCTTGTATTTTCACAGTAACAATGCACTTTTGAATCTCGATCAGTAATATCGCATATATTTTTTTGGAAACCACCAGATTTTTCTTTAGTACGCCTCTTACTGTTGTCTCGAGTTTGAACGGCGACTGACATCTCATTCACTAATGCAAATATAATCAATGTATACAATATTCTGACTATTCGACGCTCCATCTTTATTTATCTGAAACAAATAAAAACCACTTTTAAAATGCGAATGCTTTACGTTGACTTTGTATTTGATTTGTTTTAAAATACTCGTAAAAAAGGCAAGTGTAAAGTTCAACGACTGCACGATTTCAAAATACATTGTGTTATTTTAGGATGAAAAAATGTTAAATTAAAGCATTTCGGGCATATTTGTTATTGAATATCGCAATATTTGAAAAGTTGGACAGAATTCAATCATTTATAAAAACAATTATTATTTGACCCATTTACATTCTATACAAAAAATCTGGTAATGGAAATACAAATAATATAATTACGGCTTTATACTTTTCACGATGAATTAATTAATCATTAAAGAACTCCTCGAATCTGTAGTTACTTCGTGATTGTAAATAATTACTTTAATTGAGCTCATTAATACGACAATAAGAGTCGAAATCAAAGATATGGGTATATTATATGTATATTGTATAGAACAGTTTAAATCAGTTCAGATTTAACGTTTTAAATTCCATTTAGATAACATATCATGACATTGTATAAAGATTTATATTCACACTAAAGAAGCCCGTTAAAAAAATGTCATCGTCAAAAATAGTAGCGTGATTTTCTATTTTTGCTTACTATTCTTGATTTTACGTGTTTTTTCCATTCTACGCGACATTGGCAAAGTACATATATAATTGTGACCAACTGGCACTCCTGGCAAAAGAATTGAAAAGAATTCTAGATTTTGCCATACAGATCGTTTTCTTTATTCTAAGACTTTTTCGCGGTTTTATTTTAATTTTTGGTTCGAAATGTTTGGTTGGAAACGTCGCGAACCAAAAATCAAAATATATCCGCGAAAAAATCCGAAAAGGTTACGATATTATAAATTAATAATATTGGCTTATTTTTTTCTTTATTATTATAATAAAATCGGTCAGCCATTTTTATTTATTTACTTATCAAGGTAATGAATATTCTACTAATATTTGTATTTTGTTTTAAAACTATAAATAAACATGTTGGGACATTAACACACATAACCATCTAATTCCATGGTAAGCTACGAGGCTTGTGTTCTGTATACCAGATAGTTGTTACACTACTATTATATATTTAAACACCCATGACTGAAGTACAAACATTCGTGCTCATCACAAAAATGAATGCCCCCAGCGGGACTCGAACCGCGACCGCTGGCACAGCAAGTAGGGTCATTACAAACGAAGCCAAACGTGTCGTAGAATATAAATAAGAAGAATATAATATAAAATTATATATTATTTTAAAATAATCTTTGGCTTCATGTTTAGTTATATGACACTCTGTATATTATTCCTTAGCCTGAGGATCTATATTATACTTTTTAGTTCAACTAAGTATAATTTTAAATTACACAAGATAATAATATTAAATTTTGAAGTACTTCCAACTAAATTAATTAAGATGAAATATTTGGGACTTCGTGGCTTGCGTAGGAATTTAATTTTAATTACTCGAAACATTTTTTGATGACCGTCGTGGCGTAGTAGTCTTTGCGAGTGTTACAGGTTCGATTCTTGTATAGAACAAATATAATATTTACACAAATATTTTAAATTCTAGTTGGAATAGTAGACTATGTTTATAATAGCGAAAGTAGAAACGACAGCAATAAACATTACTATCTTATATTTGCTTCCTTCATATGTAATTTTCTTCTTGGAGGAGTACTAAAATATTTTATTTCATTTCCTTTATGTTTACATTCTACTCTTTATATAGTCTTACTAATAATTTAATGCAAAATTGTGTTTGTTAATTTGTCTTATTTTTACTTAGTATTGAAGGAATGAGCTATGATACAACTGGCTCATATTATTTTATAGTTAAAAAAATTAAAAACCTACACCGGCTTCAAATCCTTTTTGAAAGTATACTAAAAGAAAGTATACTAGAAGAAGTATATTACGATAAGTCAGTCAAAGTCAGTGGTCAAGGAGAGTTGCCAATAATTTAAAAATAAATATCAATAATAATTATATATGTAAGGTACTACATAAAATACGCATAGTTTATTTTAATTCAATGTTTATTTATGCCATTCAGATTAAATTTGGGACTATTGTGCAATATATTCTAGATTAAAAAATTATTTTTAAAAATAATAAAAAATAGGCATCTCACCCAGACATGTGGGTTAGTTGCCTAAATAGATGTCAGGCATAGATGCCCACGAGTAATTAGCGTATAATCAAATGTTACACTTAAGGCATTCCACTGAATCTTTACTGCAGTATTCATGAAATCACAATGAACACACTGTAATCAGTCACATTTCTTCTTAGTGGTGTTATAATACTTTCCACAAGGGTGAGGGCAATTTATATTTGTACTTTGCGTAGTGACGCAAATATCCTTTTTTTATGCATTTACACATACTACCACCTGTACGTCTATACGTACAGGTGGTTATGTGGGACTCATTGGCTAGAAAACCCAGTACTACCCCCTAAAACCCAACAGAATCTTAATGGAGAGTTGCAGGCTTGCCGAAGCAGACCATACATACAACCAAGGGTCGCTCCCACGAAGCCCTTCGCGGGCCAACGGTTTCAACAGTTAAATATTATATATATATATATATATATATATATATATATATATATATATATATGTATATATATATATGCATGTATTCAGTCCTTTTTAACGTTCCACTGCTGAGCACAGGTCTCCCTTCACAACGAGAAGGATCAGGCTATAGTCCACCATGCTGGTCAAGTGCCATATATTTTGAAAACATAGAAATGTAATTATATGACAACATATAAATTGAAAGTTAAAGTATACTCGTAGTTATAATGCCTTGATTTAGTCAGCGTTTGGTTTATTACTGATGTACGCAAACAGGATTAACAATCCAAATTTATTGCCAATAAATATTAAGTATTGATTTTGAAATAATCTATGTTGCGGCATAATATGTATCATATATTATGTAAATTTATGCATTTTGTATTGTACTGTAATACATACCAGTGTATTTCAATAGTATTACTATTAATTAGGTTCTGCTCGTGGCTTTGTAACTGAATAAATGCAAGTTATAAATAGTATATTCAGTTTATTGATTGTATAAAGTTTTTCTAAAATCTGTGCATCCGTTTTGGAAAACGTAACAAATAACACTAATTATATAAAAAATATGTTGGGACATTAACATACAACACTCTCTGGTTCCATGGTAAGCTACGAGGCTTGTGTTCTGTATACCAGATAGTTGTTACACTACAAATATAATATAATTTTAAATACATACATATTATATATTTAAACACCCATGACTGGAGTACAAACATTCGTGCTCATCCCACAAATGCATGTCTCCAGCGGAGCTCGAACCCGCGACCACCGCACTGGCATAGCAAGTAAGGTTACTACAAACTTAACCAAACTTGTCGTCTTATAATAAAAACTAGTGTTCCTCTAGTGGTGGTAATTCCGCTAAATCATTATTGAAAACTTGAGGAAATATATATGAATAGAATTTACCTATCTATATAACTAAAAACTGTTTCCATTTTTTTTATTGATAACACTAAAGCTTTTGTATAGCTCTATAGCTACTAAAAACAAGATATCGGTTGACAATATGTTATCTAAGGAAACTTTTACGGTACACATTTTCAGTTTTAAATTTATCAACATTTAGTATAGATTTCATTTACAAAGATTAGATACAAAGATGAGATATTTTCCCGCAGTAAAAAGTATACTATATGTTGACCCGGATAACCAGCTATCCTACCAAATTTCATGCGGTCACAGATAGACAGACAGGCAGACAAAAATTCTAAAAACTATAGATTCAGTCTCTGTATCGATAATAATGTCTATTTCAATAAGATTTCCCAAAAATATTTAATGTTTAGATTCGACTCAGAATTTTATTATATACTAGCAATGCCCGCGGCTCCGCCCGCGTTTAGGTGACCAAAAACCAAATACTTAGGTTTTACATATTAGTATACTCTTACATTGCAGTTTTTGTATTTTTTTCACAGAAATGAGACATTTTAACACGGTAAAAAGTATCTTATATGTTGACCCGGATAACCAGCTATCACCATACAAAATTTCATCAAAATCCCTCCAGTAGTTTTTCCGTGATGCGGTAAAAGACAGACACTAATATTCTAAAAACTATAGATTCAGCCTCTGTATCGATAATAATGACAATTTCAATAAGATTTTCCAAAAAATATTCATTGTACAGATTCGGCTTAGTTACAATTTTATTATATGTATAGATTTATATAGACTTCTACTTTAGCTTAGTAATCTAATACAAGATTATAACATGTTATTTACGAGGGACACACCGAATATTTACAATAAATTTATTTGTTGACTCAAATGTAATAGACTAACAATTCGCCAGTCATAATTCATATAAGCAACTTTCATAACTTTTCAAATTAAAACATACATAACCTTTGTTGATCGTCACATACATAGCAAATGTTATAGCACAAAGACGTCATATATAAAAGTTATTAGCTTCTGTAATATCCAGAGTGTAGGCTGAGATAAGCGTTGTGAAACATGCGTTTATAAATTTGAAATTCAAAGCGGGTCAGAATAAGGCGCGTCCACACTATCAGATCTCGCTTGCTGGATTAACAATGAACAAAATTTATGTGACAAATGTATGAATTTTTGTTTTAAATGTACGTTGTAAAATTTAGTTTTTGGCTGCCTTCGAAAAGGAGCACTCAGTTTGTGTATGTGGTTTAATGAGATATTACGAAAATTTCGAATTTACTGTCGCACGCAATTTTTGTCATAGCACCTGAAAGGATGGGATCACTGTCAAGTCCAAATTTCATCTTTGGAGAAGAAGTAATTAAACAACTTTTAAACTTATTTTAAATGACCTAAATTTAAAAGGTGCATCCTTTTTAGTTCGTATCATACTCGTATTCAGCCCTTTTTAACGTCCCACTGCTGGGCACGGGCCTCCCTTCAATACG